ACCAGATCTAAGCCAAAAAAATTACACCATGAAACAGAACACATCCCAATCAAACAAAAATATGTTGATGTGTTATGTTTACTTCAGTGGGAATAGAATCAGATTGCAAGGCTCCTATTAACTTATTAAGAGCTGGTTTATTGTTTATGAATCGGGTGAATCTGCAAGGTAACTAACATGAAGTATCTAATTTTTTAATAAACTGCAATGATATGGGAGTTAAGAGCTAAGAAGAGAATTGTAAACAGTCAAGAGAAATCAACATTTTTCATATTTTGTAAATTAAATTTCCTTTGTAAACATGTGGCTTCAAATGTTATTACAGAAATGTCAGAAAAATACATAGTGTTAAATCAGAAAAACATGTAGCATGTGAAATATACAGATTCAGGAATAGAACCAGGATAGAGGCCGCAGGCAGGAGGAATTGGGGATGTCATACAGTATTAATTAATGGGAGAAGCCACTAATTCACATGCCACAAACCCCAAAAAGGAAAAGTAGTGAATCTAGAGGTTAGGACAGAGACTTATCTTTTTGATAAACAATTTTTAAAATACTACAGAGGGAATCTACAAAAGAAAAGTAATTTATGAGGTAGGAAAAACAATACATTATAATGTAAGTGTCAGGGACCTGCTACCCATAGCACAGCTCTTACATTAGTTTAAGAACTGCAAAAACACATTCCAGTCTTGATTGAAAGAATTTTGCAGTTATGAAAGCTCAAGCAAATTTAATTACTTATCACACAGTGTTTTCTAGTTCTACAGCCCCTCTTCACAGAAGTAGCAGAAAGAGAAGGTATGAGGAATCTTAAAGGACTGTAAGCACACAGAGAAGGAAGTTGTGTTTCTTTGGATCCTGAGAATTCCTATTGGAAAACCTCAGCCTTCCACCCCCACCTTTATTGATTATTAATTTTTCCAAAGGAAGCTCTTGCAGTCCATTTTTTGAGATGTCTCTACCCCCATCCCTGGGAAGGATAAAATAACAGGGAGAGGCCACATAGTATTGCCATTAATGCTCAGAGCAGGTTTTGCTCTGGAAAGAGAGAAGTTTCCCTTTATAAAAGTCTGTCAAATCTTGACAGAAGCATTTTGCATTTTGGGCTTCACTCTCTTCACTATCATTGACTTTCTGATCTGTGAATGCCAAAGGTAATATAAGCTTCTAGATACCTTCTGCAACAGAAGATCTCCAGAGTTTTTATAGACAGCCTCTCATGAGAACAGCAGAATCAGGAAACACTCCTTTTCACATAATCATATTGAGCCAGTTTCTTTCTCTCATTTGTTAATGACACAAATGTCACTTTGCAAAAGCAGTTTACTACACTAAAAAGAAATGTCAGCGAAATAATTTCTACCTGTCTTGCATTTTAGTAACTAGAAAAAAGACAGAACTAGCTGCCTGTAACAGACCAATTCTCCACAGATTACCAGCAGAACCTATGTTTTAAGAAATGTTCTGACTTACATAGCCTGTTCTTTAAAATTCTTTCTGAACACAATGGATGTAAAAGAAGAAAAGATACACAAAGCTGCACAATAGGATAATAAGCCTGTGATTATCCAGGCAACTTCAAAGTGAGCATTATGTCATTCTAAACACACTGATATAACTAGTAAACTATTTTTAATATTAAGCATTCTATTTACACCACTTCACAGATATGGCTTAAGGCATTTCATTCAGCTCTAGAAGTTTTCCATTTTGTGTTGAAACGAATGAGACATTTCAGAAACATTTATTTGTAAGTATTTCTACAGAAACTACACCCAAAGCTTCCTACAGAAGGTATGTGAGGCTACAGTTTTTTAAGCAAGGTATTTTCTTACAACATGCTATGGAGATGACCACTATTGTCTATGTTGGTATCTTACTATCTTGCATTTGCAAAGCTCAGTGTCAAATACAATACAAATTCAAACAGCAAACTGCTCCCAAGGTAGTAAAAAGCTGTAGATAGCTTTAACAAGTGACTAATTCATGCATCTATCCCTGATTGGATTTCAGAGGTGAGCTTCACACTAAATTAACATGTTTTGCATTTACTGTAGTTGTGGCAGAAGTCAATGGCCTTAAAATGATTCCACTTCTCAGTTGTTAAGATTTAAGCAAAAATGTCTGTTTAAGCAAAATCTTTACATCATAATAACTAACCCAAATCTGTTACTCTCTAAACCACACAGGAGTCTTCAGTGATTTGAAACACTGCCTACCAGCAAGGAATTCACACCCTTAAGGCAGAAGCATCACACCAGACACAGTAGTTCTAAAGAAAAGTCAGACCTAGACATGCCCAAACCAAAACCCAAGACAGCCCTGCCCTTCATCTGGGAAGGATCACAGTCCTGGACTTGGCCAGATAAGGTGCCAAGAGGACTAAGTTTATAGAGAAGCTAAATTATAAACTTGAAGTGTAGACGGAAAGGAAGGAAGATCAGACCCTACATCATCACACATAAATAAAATGCCACTTCAAAATAGAAAACAAAGCTACACTTTAGAAACACAACTGCATTACTTTTTTATTAACATAACGGGGAATGGAGAGAAACTACAAATGTAGTAACAGGTTTAGCAATGTATTCCCAATTTCTGTTTTAAATCAACATACTGATGCTCGAACAATTAATGACAAAGTGGCATCCTGTTTCCATAGAGGATGCAATTTTGTGCATCCTTCAGTATAGAATAAGTTCAGCTTGTAAAAACTGTCCTTCATCTTTTAGACTTAAGATACGTTACAAAAGACTTGTGTAAGACACAAAATATGGCATCTTAGCCAATGTTTTTCATACTTTACGTACCATAAAAGACAAGTGGTGTGATTTTCTATACAGTCTCAAAAGATGACAAAAACATTACATTTGGTATATATCAAGTCATACAGTACCACAGAATGGCCTTTGTGAGATGAAAGGGTTAACTGCTGCTTTTAACTGCATCCAAGTAACTTTAATGAGAGTGAATACTGAAGCAACTTCTATAAACACAATGACAGTATTAGGAGAACAGCAGTTCTGAAACCCCTGCCAGCACTCTTATTGGGGGGGGAGAGGAGAGGCTTGTTTTGTTTTAATCAAGACATAAAATCTTACCAAGTTCTGCTGTTTGGGGTATTTGCAGAGCCCTGCAAAAAAATCTGTAAGACTAGGCAGCTTTACAGAATGTATCATGCAGTAGTAACCATGACGATAAGCAAAATGGTTTTGCTAATCTTTTCTTTAAGATGAGAATACTTCCAAATACTGGTGGTTTTCCACTGTATTACAACCGTTTGTTTGTTGCTGCCTGAGAATCTAGGCCTCCAATTCTTATAAAGCTGAAACTTCTGAAAAAGTGAACAGTAACTTGAAGTGCACTGTAACACAGAATGAGTCCTAACCAGTCCACCAGCATCCTAAGTGGCTATGGTAGGATGGATGTCACTTGTTGCCAGCTATGTCTTATTTCACTGTTGCACAGAATAGGTAGAAAAAAATATATTACATTTTTAAGATAATTATTTTGTAAGCCCATGGACAATCTAAAAAAACCAACAGAAAGTCACAGGGGTACAGAAATACCCAGTACACAGGGTATTTCTATGGAGATCACAAAACTGCTGAGGTAGGTTAGAATTTGGTCCTCAGCAGGATGATCACAAACTTTAAGAAAGCATCTTGGAACTCCTCTGCATTGATTTGGTCTTGATTTTGTATTAAGTTGAGGACTTTAAGCAATAAAAAAACCCAGAAATTCATCTTTGTTCTCTATCCTTTCTCCAGCAGACTCACTCACCAAACTGGGATAATGCTTTCAAAAGATGTATGTAATTTGGATGTGAAGCCACATATTGAAAAGTGACTAAAGGGCTGATTTTCAAAGGCACTAAGATACCTGAAGATGCATTAAGCACTTAGAATTTTTAACACTGCCTGGGCATCTAACACCTATTTAAATCACTTAGTCCTTTTAGAAAAATCTCAATGGACAGTTATCTACATTTTATGTGTCTATATGCCTTTGAAAATCTGTACCATTAAATACTTAACAACCTAAGTCCCTCTGGCTTTTAATGAGACTTAGGGTCCTAAAAAGTGTAAGTACTTCTGAAAATTGGTCAAGTCACTCTCTCTGATCTTTTTCTTCTTTTAAAGAGCCATCTACTAATGTTTATCCATAGCATGTCAGTTAACTACAGCTTTAACACTATCAGATTTATACATTATACTGCTCACATTCCATTTTTTTTAATAACTAAGCAAATAAAGGTCCTGAGTACACAGTGCATCCTCATATGACTTTCTGAAACTCCAAAAAAGAAAATTAATTCCAACCAGTAAACCCCATGCATTCCCAGGAATCATTCTTTCAATAAATATGACCCAAAATGAGAATATATGCTGATAAAAACCAGCATAAATTAATTACCAAGGAACATTCAAATTACTACAAACAAGTTCTGAAAGACAGCCACACAGCAAAAAAAATGTTCAAAGAAAATCTAGAAAGATAAGTTGTGAATAGTCTCTTTAAACAGGCAACAGCTCCAGAAAAGAGAAGCCTTAATTCTGAAATTTCTTTTTTAAACAAAAACGAATGAAACTATAAAGCATTCCCTTATGCAAACATTTGAAAGATCTATCTTCTGATCTGTAATGTCAATGGGAGGTAAATTGCACTGACCACATTCCCAAAAAGGAACTGATTTGTAAATTAGGAACGTAGGGAATCAGATTGCCACCTACAGGAAAATTTAACATTTATTGTCAAGAAAGACACAGAAAGAATACAAACTGCCATCCTGCCAAGCAGTCTTTCAGTTTTAGTCATTATTTAAAAAACAATTAGTATTTTATTTTGTACAACTGTATCATGAACTTCCTAAATCCAGAAAGCCATTAACCCTTCTTGTTATTTAAGACAAAATTGCTTGGAAGTTCTGTAATTCAACTACAAAGCAGCAGATTGTCATCACATTTCAGTTAAAGAATTTTAAGTCTGCTTACCTGACATAATTGGTGCTAGACTGAATATGTCTGATAGTTTGCTGTTAATTGGCTCATAAGGGGTATCTCCAAGTAAGTCATTTCCTAAAGACAAAAAAAATTTGGATTTTTTTCTTATACAAGAATTCAGGATAAGATTTTGTTGTTTATTTTTACTCTGAAATGAAGCTACTCTGTAACAGCAAAAGGTACCCCCCTTTAATCTGTTTATGCAGCTGTAGCTCCTCAAAGTATTATCTACATAAACATGTAGAAAAAGAAAGTTTTTCCTCCCTGTCACTAATTCTTTTTTCTCCTTCCTCTGTGAATAAAGTCATAATTTGCAAACACAGCCTGTGACATCACAAGGACTGTCCCATCTCAGGTCAGCAGGAGAGAAGCTGTAGCAGGGATGTTCCTCTTCGTTCACCTTAACATTCACCCTCTTTTTTAAAGGAGTAGCCCAGGTAAGAGACAAAAACTAGAATATTTGGAATAAAACACTCCTAACAAGATGTTGTTGGAAGGGAAACTTTTTATGATGCAGAAAATGTCCACAAGTAGTGCAACTTATTCTGAAAATTAGAACAAAAATTATTGACTCATGAAAAAGTTCCAGTAGATGCCTGGATAAATGAACAGAAAGGGGTGACCTCCCCTTTTGCAGCTACAGAAAATGGTCAAACGGGGACCCACACTGAAGTGAAAGATTGCATCTTCAACTCCACAGCGAGAGCAAAGCAGGGCTAAAAATTATGCATCTCATAAGAACCTGGCTGTTCTCAGTGGACTATGGGAAATTTGCCAGTGACATGAAGAACAGAAGTCCTGAGTCAATTACTGTCACATCTCTCCTAACTGGGACTTCTACACACTATAGGAAGCATAAACTTATTATTTTTCTGCTTCAGCACACCCAGAGAATATTGCTAGGAAATACAGGAAAAGGAAGAATAAACTTTTCCTGAAAACAGTACTCCTCTTCATATTACATTTAACTTTCAGCAAAGAGCTAAGAAGCTAGTTCCAGTGTCCTGTGATATTGTTAGGTGAGTCCTAATTAAGGAATTTAAATATTAGTAGGAAAATGTCTCCAAATGACTGTTTTTGTAGCTTTTGCACTTGCTAGTGCCCTTATCTTTTGACTTGGATTTAGAAAGGTCAGCTGGGTCCCCTGGAGGAAACCCTCATTGTGGATTTCCCAACAACAGGAGACGGAGCAGCAGCTGTTCTTGAGTCAGATGAAAGGTCCTCAGTTTGCAGCTGAAGAGCACAATGTGAATTACGGGGTCAGACCCTCTGTTTAGCCTCGGTTGGCAGTAGCTAGCTGCGGAAGTGGGGGGCTGCAAAACTCACACACTGCATTAGGGGAGTGTAACGTTTCTCTGGTTTGCAACATACCCTCAAAGCTCCGGTACAAGGTCCAGTAAATACGCAGGCAGTATTTCTCCTTCCTCATGCCCCTCCTACAGTGGCAGTTGTAGAGAGATTTCTGCTTGAGAGCTTCCATGGCGCTTTTGCATTCATTCTTAGCCTCCAGGCCTGTCGTCCGGCTGAAGTTGCCCGCTTTGCCGGCTACACACTGCCTCAGTGTCCTGTACTTAGCACTGCAGCTCGGCTCCCGCAGACACTGCTCGCTGGCTCTCACGCAGTCAAGGCGGTCCCCTCCAGCCACCCCGCTCGCTTCTACAGGCAAAAGTACAGCTAGAGAGAGGAGACACAAGCCAACAAACACTCGTTGAGGGATGAGGGGGACTGAACCAGGGCTCCAAAGCAGGCATCTGGGAAGCACAAGTCACCTCGTCACGCAGCACATGCAGGGTGCCCCATGGGCAGCACCTCGCAAACCTCGGGGCTTTCGTGCTGCACCTTAGGAAAAAGCACTCGGGGGTTTTCACGGTTTTAAATCCACTTTTGTGGGAGTCCAAGGAAGCAGCATGTTTTAACCCTGCTGGATGATTTGTGAGCAAACACAAAAAGGAAAGGGAACCCACAGGGGTTAATGTGCCTGACAGAACACGCATCCGTTATTCCTGAAATCCACTTTGGTGAAACAATAACCTTCCCATTCAAGTGTTTAACTGAGGGGTTAAATATTCGGCCTCACTTTCCACGAGAGCTTCGCTGTAATTTCAATTACATCCACGAACAACCGGCTCGGAGAGATAAGTACCCTCAGTGATTGATATTAGCCTCTTTTTTTTTTGAGTCAGTCACTTTTTAAAGGCTGTACACATTTTTGCTTATCCTACATGTATGCAGGTAGAATTTATGACTCGCCCTCTCCATTTCTCTCCACGTACGATGCTTTTGCAGGAGAACAAAGCAAATTACATTAACTCTCTCCTCTCCATCGTGCCCCGTCACGCTCCCTCCAGACAAACGCAGACGGAAACCCAAACATCTCCCGTGGAAGGGAAACCAGTTTGGGCTGCGAACCACTCGCAGTCGGGCAGGCTGCCAGGTCCAGGTGAAGATGTAATCCTTCAGCTGCCTCTTGTCACCCCCACCCCCTGCTCCCCAAGCAGCCTTATTTTAGTAAAATGAAAAGTTTCCCTCTAACTTGCGAGAACCCAGATTTAACAAGAGGCTATGCGGGCAGGTCTCTAACGTCTGTAATCTGCCAGAGCTTGAAACGTAGACTGGGTTAACTGATGCGAAGCAGAGCTGTAAAAACTACTGAAAACTTCACTGTTCTGCCTAAACAATAGACTGACAACCGTCAGGCATCCGATCCCATAAACCTTACGCTTTGCTTTATGAAGGGATGTACTAAGAGAAATCAGACGCCAGCAACTTACCCATTAAAGGCAAAGCGAAGTACAAGATAGTGAGAAACATCTTGCCGTCTTCGGATAGTCTCTCCGAATGAGCTGATGTGCCACAACAAAGAGGATCAGCATAAAGATATTCTAGAACGTCCGAGGTCCAAAGATTCCAAGTTCCGATCCATTGAATTCCACGGGGGGGGGGAAACAACAAAACCAAAAAAAACCCCACCAACCGAACGACCCTCTCTCCTCTTCACCGCTTACCAACCAGCAGCGGCAGCGACGCAAACGCTGAGCTTTATTCCCTGAGATTTCAGGTCTGAGCAACCTGAAAAGCAGAAGCACCGACTCCAGTGAGGGAGCGGGAGAGGCGCACGCACGGGTTTATGTGTGTGCGAGCGAGCGAGCGGCAGCGGGGCAGGAACGCCGCTCGCCTCCCTGGGTGGGCAGCGCCTGTTCCCAGGGAGGGACCCAGAGCACACACGGG